AGAGAAATGTTTAGATTAAAAGATATCACGATTTTCCGACGCCAGGACGTGATATCTTTCAAAATCGATAAAAAGCGAAATTACTCTGAAATGGTTGAGAATCGGACCATGGACAATATGAACTTTTTTGTTCATTTTAGGGTGAAGAATCTACTGGAGAAGTTTGTAGCACGAGTAGCAATTCACCCTGTATAAATTCACTTTTTCACATCCTAAATGTTTTTGTTAAATGTGAACAATGTTTGTAAATCCCTGGCCCTGAAGATGATCTCAATAAAGATCGAAACGTTGGCACGATAAAGAAAATGTTTTTCTGAAACCTACATCACACCAGATCGCATCTCACGATTTCTGAATAATTATCGATTAACGGTCATTGATCACCACACATTTTATATTACGTCAAGGCCTCCACCGTTCCGGTCTAAACACAATTGTCTTTAAAACTAGGCTGATTGGTGGTCAGTTGGGTAGTCTAAAATGCCCCAAAAACTTACCCACACCCACGCTTACTCACTCAACCAGTTACATTAATAAATACATTTATTCAGATTCATTTTATCCGTTATGACCCAAAAAATTCTTAAAAATGAATTCTGCCTCTGACTGTTTACAACTTCAACCTGCCTTATTAAAACTTAATAAATTGTTGTTTTTATCTCAACCAATACATTACATAAAGGTTAATTAATTGAGAGATGTTATTTGGTCAATCGGACCACGGAATCTAACGGATTTAATAAATTGTGTTCATCTAATAATATTCATTTAAATTCTAACAAATTTTCAGTGATGATTTTTCATAAAATACCCTATCAATTGAACTGACTCGCTCTTAATGAGACGTAACTGTTAAACATATTGGCATTATTACGAACAGACAATTAAACTTTCACTCATATATTAATAAAACTATTGCTAAAGCAAATAAAAATTTAGGGTTTGTTACACGTCATGCTGAACGTTTCCACGATTTAGATACACGTAAAATTGTATACACTTTCACTGTAAGACCAATATTTGATTATTGTTCACCTCTTTGAAGGATGATGTATGGAGGCAGGTACATTAAGTGGTTTAATAATGCTAAAGGTTTTGGCTTCATCTGCCCCGAAAATGGTGGCGAAGATATCTTTGCACACTATTCCAGTATCCAGATGGAAGGGTACCGTACATTAAAAGCTGGACAAAAGGTTAATTTTAGTTCAACTAAAGGGCCTAAAGGTAACCATGCCTGCCTTATTATTTCTACCCACTCATATCAGTCCACCCACCATACTCATCTTTAATGTCGGAGGTGAAATTATTACATAAATTATTTATTACATTCCTTGACTGATTGCCCATTACTACTTAACCGAGTTTAAAATGTGTATTAAACTATCTGAAAAACGAGGAAAATTCAAAAGTGGGGTGAAAATGGGAAGTGGAGAGAATCGAAGTCACGATAGCTCAAGTGGTAGAGCAGCGGCGTATCGAGCCGAAGGTCTTGGGTTCGAATCCCGCTCGTGACGCTGACTTTTTTATCTCAACCACTACATTACATAAAAATTAATTACATAGTTTAATACACATTTTAAATTAATCCATAGTTGTTTAGTGGTAATGATTAACATATTAGTTATTCATATAAGTTATTCTTTTATCTAAGATTTTTGGTTGAAATTAAATACACATGTCACGAGCGGGATTCGAACCTCCGTGCCAAACCCACACTAATTTTTCATTTCAACCAAAAAACATAGATAAAAGATCAATTAATGGGAATTTTTTAAATTGATGATTTTGTTATTATTTTTTATTATAGATATTTCTAAATTTATAATAATAAGTCATAATTGTCGTATTTAATTATTTCAATTAGTTATACTTTTTGTATCAACCAAACATTCATATATTTATTCTAAACTTTTTTAATTGGAAAACAGTAAAATAAATAAATGTGAGAGTTCATAGTTTTAGTACACTATGTTGTCGAAAAGGTTAATTAGTTCATAACTGTAAACCATGACCTCCTGAAAAGTTGGCTTACTGAGCCTGATTAAGACTTACTATTGTTAGGCCAAATTCATTAAATCCATTTGTTCAAAATAATTCATATTCATCTTATCAATTCGTCTGTGGTTTTCTGTTTATCTTGGGGGAGAACCCTGTTTCTTTTGATGTTTGATTAATTTCTTCTTTCTATCGACTTACCCCCTTTATTTTAAAATGTAATTAGGACTAAACATATTAGGAATAACTTTTAAACGAGCTGATAGTTAATCGTGGGTATACATTTGTTCATCGACATCAAGATGAGAAAAATTTACGTCATGAAATCAAATATTTCATGCAAACTAATATAAGAAAACAGGATCTACATTTTTTACGCTCGAAACCAATTCTACATATTAAATACAAAACAATCAGCTGAGGAAAATGTGGTGCTTCCTTCACTGTTTTCAAAATAATAACATGTCTTAACGCATTGAATTGAGAAGTAGTTGTAATAGTTTATTTAGGTGATTTAGTAGAGTCGCTTTGTTATTTTATCTACTTGTACTGACAATTTTTATCTCAAGAACAAAATTATGAAAAACAGAGGAATTGAAATTTCTGGACGAATTGTTGAGCCCGAAGAACCCATTGGGTACAGATATTCGTTCAAATAATGCCAATGTAAAAGAAAATGAAATGGTTTTGTTCCACTGGCATCAACGAACATTGACGAACACACAGCCCAGACGTAGTCACCGCACATCAACGGACCTCCGGAATCTCCTGGAAGTGTAGTTTCGCCGTGAGTAACACCCAAAAGGCAAATTTCTCCAAATGCCAACATGTTATCTTGCGGCGGGCCTGCAAACCTTGCACATCTCTCCTCATCCCACGTATGAACCAAGGTAGTTTTCAAGAATTTATTGACACCCGAGGATACTAACGTCGTTTTATTGACGAGTTTGAAGTCGGTTGCTCCCCACCCAATAATTACGCACGGAGCCTCCGATGCCACCATCTCATCCCAACCGTGTTTAAACTCTGTCTTGTCTGTGGAATAAACTTTCATCAGCTGTACTGTGTCGGTAATTTTTAAAGGCGTAACAAGAGTGGCGGTGGCATAATCGTGCATAACACCACCTAATTTTTTCTTTCTTATTTCCTTCGGATACTTCACCGACTCAACGGCTGATTGTTGACCATCATCCGACATGAGATATAACGTACCAAAAAATACCAATCCTGTTTTAACGTCGTGGATTTTTCTTTGGCCGTTGACCCATTCCATTACACAATGACCCGCAGTAACAACTTTTGACGTGGTTACTAACGAGCATCCACATACGTTCCCCATGTTATTTTCAGTCTGGAATGTTATATGACCGATAAAGGGAAATTCTCCAGCTTTAGCAGCTCTTCCTCCTTTAATTTTCCCATATTCTGCACTAGTAAAATTGGATGGAAGTGTAATTGTAAGAATAAACACAAAAATTTTGAAATATAATTTAGACATGGTTATTGAACGTTATTATGTGTCGTACCTTAAACAGATGTTTTTATATATATAAATATGTATATCATGAAAAAATGGGCTCGTTTTTGCATCGCGGAGGTTGGAGAGCATTTCGAACGCAAATTAAAAAAGTTTAATAAATTTATTCAAAATTTCCTTAAGTTTTGATATTTTTCATTATTATTAATTTTTCCACCTTGCTTATCCGTCAACCAAGGCCATCTTCGAAAAAAGTAATTTAAAATGCAATTATACCACGAAAAAAGTGTATTAAATGGAATACATTTTTGAAATTTGCTGGGCGCTAGATTTGGAAATCGTAGTTTAGAATCACCATAGAATAGCCATGATTTGAGAAAAATTATCTTATCGAACCTAGAATTATGCTTGTCCTGTACATCCTACAAAAAAATACTCCTCCCCAGATGCGCATTGGTAACAGTGACTAAAATTGTTACTGCAGGTCATTGTGTAGTTGTATGGGAGGGTGGCCATAGACGAACAGTCAATACAGGAAAATCAAGAGTATATTTTGGTACATTATACCTCTTGGCAGATGACGCCCAAGTAGCAAAGCTTAAAACTGTGAAGTATCCCAAAGATATAAGAAAGAGAAAGTATGGTGGGTTGATGCACGACTATGCCACTGCAGAACTAGTTACAGCCTTACAGCTCAACGACAGAGTGAAACTTATAGCACTTTACTCAACCGACAAGGACGAGTTTAAAAACGGTTGGGATGAAATGGTGGCTTCGAGAGCGCGCTGTACACTTATAGGGTGGGGATCATCATCGTATAAAATCGTCAACGATACCATTGTAACTAGTGGTCCTAATCAATTTTTAAAAACGACCATAGCTCAGCCATGGGAAGAGCAAAGATGCCAAGACTTTTCTGGTCCTCCGCGCGATAATATGGTACCTTTTGGTCAAGTTTGCCTCGAGGGCGTTACTCGAGGTGAGACTACACTTGCAGGAGATTCCGGTAGTCCTTTGCTTTGCGGCGAACTTTCCCATTTTTGGACGTCTTAGAGATTTACACAGATTACTAGTAATATGCCAAACATCTTCCATGATCGATCCAGGTACATGTTTCGTTCTCTTAAAGGCAACGTACAACCTTTCGAAATTTCCCCCTTTTTGCCATTTTTCATTCCGATCAAGACCTTGCGTAAAAAGATTAATTAATTGACAAAAGTAATTTGGTCAATCAAACCGCTATATATAATGGATTTAATAATTAAAACGAAGTATATCTTCACTAACAGCTCTCCGTGGCCACTTGTGGAGAATCGATTCCTGATTACCTGACTTCTGAAAAAAAAGGAAAATTCGAAAGGTTGTACGTTGTTGGTGTCCGAGTGAATCGAAGTCACCATGTCTCAAGTGGATAGAGCAGCGGCGTATCGAGCCGAAGGTCGATGGTTCGAATCCCGCTCGTTACACTAACGTTTTCATTTCGACCAAGATGGTAAAGTCTCTTCCTCTTCATCGTTCAACAAGTCGAAAATTATATTTATTATTTGATACGATTGATGACTTGAATGAAACTGAACGAAGGCTTTAATTAATTGTTTACGATTTTCCTCTTGGGTGTTAAATATGTATTTGTGTAAATTACAAAAAGGGGCAGTTATTAGGGCATTGACTATTGTCGATATGAGCGAATAGTCAATGAAATAAAAAAGAAGGCCATTAATCTGACGCTGAACACGAATTCAGTGTCGCTGAGATTTAAACTCAGATTGTTTAAAAATGAGCTTTTTCCAGAAACATTGGTGTTGATAAGCCTTTACTGATGCCAATTCCAGTAAAAAAAGAAATACGTAAGAAAAGTGGCGTTCTTAATCTTTCTGATCATTTTACATTTGATTTAATAAGCGTTTAGGTAGTGCAAGGCGTAGTATAATTGGCTTTATGATTTGTTTACTAATAGTGTGTATTAGGTGCTCTCTCAAATTTAGCCGATTGAGCCAGAAATCATAAATATTTGAGGCCACTCGTCGCGTCTAGCGGCTGAAGCTGCTCTTCCCGACAATTTGAGCGTTCAAGCTTAAAATTTGATTCAGGTGAGCTCCTTTTATAATACATTCATTGCTTGGCTAATTTCGGCTGTTGACGGCTCCTCAAGTACTGAAAACAATTAATCGCAGGATTAAAAACCCAGGAATTGTTTGCGCTGGGAAAAAATGTCTCCAAGCAGAAAGAACCTTCCTGCCTCCTCTAAAAAACGAATGTTGGTAATCGTATTGAAGAAATAATAGACCAATCCGAAATTAGATCACGATCTGCGAGCCGGGAAAATTAAAAAATGGATTCAAATAACCTATCATTGTCAGCTGTTAAAAGTGATCTGGCAAATGTTAATAGAATAGCTTCTACCTCGTCCTCCAATCATTTACTATCTACAACACATATTCTTAATTTTATATCACCTAATAATTTTGGAGTATTCGCTGTAGATGAGGACGACAAAATACAAGACCAATCAAAACAAATAACACCAAATATGGATGCAAACTGACAAAATAACACCTCCAAACAGTGGATCTTCGTTCGAAATATATTTAACTTTACCTTATTTTATTAAGTGTCAGGGAAGAACTGACTGCACCATTCTTCGCATAAAAAGTTCCGACCATTATAGGAAGCTAATCACTCGTATCAAAAGCTGAAAAGTGTAGCTTTCACACCTATCAATTAAACGAAGAACGTGCATTTACAGTTGTAATAAGAAATCTTCATCCCTCCATCCCGCCAGATGATATAGAAAAAGATGTAGAAGAACTTGGCTTCAAAGTCCGAAATCTGCAGCAAAAATCAAACTGCCGCTGTTCTTTTTAGACCTGGAACCTTCACTAAATAATCATAATATGTTTATGACGACCCAACTCAACGTTGTCTTATACGCGAGAACCGTTCAAAAACAAGCAAATTTTGCAATGTAAGCGCTGTCAAAATTACGGACACACCAGATCATATTGCAACCATGCACCATCATTTGTACCAAATCCAAAGAAATCCAGCTGTTGGCTCTCTTTGTAATGCTAATCATCCAGCCAACTACAGAGGATGCTACACACAAAATTTACAACGGCTAAGAAGACAGAATTCCTCCGAATCAAGATACCAGTCCAGAACTCCTCCACCACCACCACCACAGCAAGATTTGATAGCGCTCCTCGAACCCCTACGCCCAAGCCATCCAAGCACCATCTCAGTCACAACCACGCCGTACTCAATTCCTTCTTTTCTTTCCTCTCACTTCTTCAGACCTCACTTCAATGATGCCCAACTTATCAATGAATTTCACTCACTTATCAGCCCTCTAATCTCTCTAATTACGGCCGTTGTTGAGAAACTTGTCTCACCCATTTCGCGACACACACTCTAAATGCTCCATTATCCTCTAGCTCTGCTCCTATGGAATGCTAACGGCTTGAATTCCCGCTTCAACGAACTAGAAATACTTCTACAAGAAAAAAGTGTAGACGTAGTACTGGTTACGGAGACACCCTTTACATCACGATCTAATTTTTATATTCGAAATTTAAGGACTTACAGGGCTGATCATGCCATGGGTATTTCTTGTGAAGGTAACATTATCTTAATTCGCAACACCTTAAACCATTATCTAATTCCTACTAATCTTCTGTATCTTCACAATTCACTGCCATTGAATTGTCCTCCTCAACCAGCAATTTTACTATAGCAGCTGTGTATTTCCCACCAAATCATAATGTTTCCCAACAACAGTTTCTATCTTTTTTCCAGTGCATCCTAAAATCAAAGAAAGCTCCTGGTTTTGTTCTTATTGTCTCCATCTTATTGTAAATGAATAATATTAATTGAACACAATTTATTAAATCTGTTAGATTCCGTGGTCTGATTGACCAAATAACATCTTTCAATTAATTAATATTTATTTAAAGTATTGGCTGAGATAAAAACAACAATTTATTAAGTTTTACTAAAGCGTAAAAGTATGTTGTTGTCAAAATTATGGCGGATTCTCAGCAGAACAACCCGTGGACTGATGTGGATAAGCCGATTACAGATGCAGCAGGAATTGCTTGAATCATGTAAAAGGCAGACACGTCTGCTGTTGATAGTGCAAGAAATGATGCTGCGAGTACCCTTGTAGCTATGGCTGACGGATTGCTCCTTGTTGAAAGTTGAGATCCCTTCGACGAACTTGAAATGAACAGTTTGATTCTCTGCTTATATACCATATTAGTCTTGGGGGTCAGCGTGCAAAGCGAGACCATTGTTGAAGCATCGGTGAAAACTAGTTGATAACTTGTGATGCTGGGATTTGATCACAGTTTTTCACTGTAGATTATTGCTTTCTTATAATTAACGTTTAATCAATAAGCCGTTAGTCAACTATCTTTTGGCAACTATTAGCTAATGAAAGTAATAATAATCAAATCTTTAGTTTTTTAAATGGCTGAAAATTTGTAAGTAAAATCTGAGATCAATCTATTTTTTTACCTGTTTTGTTAAAAATTAATTACATAGTTTAATACACATTTTAATTAATCAATATTTGTTTAGGGATCATAATTGACCATATTAGTTCTTCCCATTAGTTAATCTATTATCTGAGATTTTTGGTTGAAATTAAAAATTCATGCCACGCACGGGATTTGAAACTTCCAACCATCCTCGATCCACTCGGACATCTCAACCCCACCTTATGAGTTTTCCATTTTTTACTAGGTCACGATAGCTCAAGTGGTAGAGCAGCGGCGTATCTAGCCGAAGATAGTGGGTTCGAATCCCGCTCGTGCCATTAACTTTTTTTTCATCTCAACTAATAACCTTAATTAATTGTAATGTATTAATTAGTCAAGCGGAGCAACAAATTAGTGAATTTAATGAATTAAATGAAGTACACTTCACTAAAACTCTCCGAGGGCATTTCATTTGTCGTCGAGAATCCAATCCGATGACACATTTCAAAAATAGCAAAAAGGAGGGAAAACTCATAAGGTGGGGTTGAGATAGGAAGTTGATGTCCGAGTGGATCGAGATCACTTTAGCTCAAGTGGTAGAGCAGCGGCGTATCTAGCCGAAGGTCGTGGGTTCGGATCCCGCTCGTGCCATTAACTTTTTTTCATCTCAACTAAAAACCTTAATTGTAATATATGAATAATATTTTTAGATAGCGGGCGGTGTAAAACCTAAATGTTAAATTATACATATTACATGAATGTTTCTAGTGAGCGTAAAAGTATGTTATTGTCAAAATTATAGCGGTTCCTCAGCACAATATCAAGCCCGTGGAATGATGTGGCTATGCTGATTACAGATGCAGAAGGAATTACTTGAATCATGTAAAAGCAGACACGTCTGCAGTTGAAAGTGCATAAAATGATCCTGCGAGTACCCTTGCAGTATATACATTATCTTCACTCTCCGTAAAAAGATCCCACCACCTGTTTTTCTTAAATAATATTCCTCTCCCAACTGCGGGGACAAGCTGCAATACCTCGGACTGTACATCGACAAACGCCTGAATATCTTCACGATATGCATGAGTGGTACTCCTTTCCATATGGTTTGCTACATACTCGAATAATTTAAAAGATCTTAAAGATTCACTGAATTTTTTTCTTCTGGGTTTTCTTTTTTCTTTCATTTTTCTATATATGTATTTGTATTAAAATAATAGTAAAATAAACAGAAACATCTGTTTATTTTTTCATTCCTAGTAAACAATGTTTAATAAACATGCCTAAATTGTATTTCAAAATTTTTGTTATATTTCTTACAATTACATTTCCATATAATATTAGCTGTGAAAGCCATGGCAAAATTAAAGGAGGAAGACATGCTAAACCAGGTGAATTTCCATTCATGGGCCTTTTGATATCCCCGAATAATGAAGGCATTAATATGCTTTGTGGATGCGCGTTAGTAACCACGACGAAAATTGTAACTGCTGGTCATTGTCTCATGACATGGGAAAACGGCCGGAGAATCTTGAACGAAATTGAGGAAGGAGAAGTATTTTTTGGTACGATACATCTCAAGTCCAGGGAAGGTCAAACATCAAAACTTAAATCGGTGAAATATCCCAAGGAAATAAGATTGCAAGAGGCGGATTCGGTTATGCACGATTACGCGACTGCCGAACTGGTTACTCCAATGGTACTCACCGACACAGTGAAGGTCATGCAAGTTTACTCCAAAAACAAGCAAGAGTTTAAAAATGGTTGGGATGAATTGGTGGCTTCGAAGGGAACGTGCTTAATTATTGGGTGGGGAGCAAGAGACTTTCGTGTCGAGAACGACTCATTCGTTGTAACCCTAGGTGCCAGTCCCATCTTAAAAACGGCTGTGGCTCAACCGTGGGAAGAGGAAAAATGTGAAAAGTATGTTGGACTGTGGGAACTGAGCATGGTACCGTTTGGAGAGGTTTGCCTTTTGGGTGTTACACACGGCGAAATTATACTTCCTGGAGATTCCGGAAGTCCGTTGATGTGCGGCGACTACGTCTGGGGCGTGTGCTCGACAATGATATTAGATGACACCGGAACGATGCCATTTCAGTATCTTTTACACTGGCATTATTTAAACGAATTTCTATACCCAGAGGGTGCTATAGGCTCATCAATTCGTCCAGAAATTTCTATTCCTCTGTTTTTCATAATTTTGTTCTTGAGATAAAAACTTGTCAGTACGTGCAAGTACATAAAATAACAAAGCGACTCTACTAAATCACCTAAATAAACTATTACAACTATTTCTCAATGCGTTAACACATGTTATTATTTTGATTATACCCATCGGGTTCTTCAATAATTCATTTACAATTTGCAAATACGCTGTTTTCTTAATTTTATTTTTGGCATAAAATCGGTTTGTTATCTCACAACAAGTAAAATAACACGACTCAATTAACCGGTTTCAATAAACAATTTAATTTTTAAACCCAGACTAAATTTAATGTGTATACACACTCTATTACTTACTGAGAAAATAACATCATTTCTTCATCCGACTTACGTTAAACCTGAAATTTAAAAAAAAGTAACGGATTGTTATTTAAGGTAAGTTAAAAAATCAACACAGTTTAAGATTTCATATTTTATTCAATTAAATTTATAAATGTTTTCTTGAATCAATTACGTGATACATTGAAATTATCGAAAACGTTGTATCTCAAGAAAAAATCGATGAAATTTTGCGTTTCTCGCGTAATTTTTTTTCAAAATGCGTGAAAAATGTTTATAAAAATTGATAGTTGATACCAGTTCGGCTTAACGTGCACCAGTAAAAACGTAAAAATTACGTTTGAAGCCATATTTAGTTTAACTAGCATAGGCTGCTTAAACATAAAATGCCATGTCTTTTTAAAAACTCATATATTGGGTTGCTTAGAAAATATTGTAGCTTTATTGTTATATAATAAAAACAATTAAATAAATGATTTTAAACATTTTTTTATTAATTAAAATGTCCACCATCATTCTCAATACACTTCTCCTAACGTGATGGCGACTTCTTTATGCTCTCCGAATAGAATTTTGAGTCTTCATAATTAACACATTCTATCATTATCTAAAGACTTTTGGACAATATATTTTTTATGTTGTAGAACGTTGTATAGGTGTTTGAAAAATGGTAGTCCGTAGTGGACAATAGGCAGGGTGAGCCAGTACCTCATAACCAAGATCCAGCTGTTTTCGTGTTGTCATATTTGAGACATGGGGCCGAGAGTTGTCTTGATAGCAAAGATACATTGATGGAATCAGAATCGGCCTTTTCTGATTGACGAAAGATGGCTTCGGTAATGCCAATTTCTGGTGCATTGTTTCAATTTGAGAACAATACAGACATTGATTGTTTCGCCAAGAAGTTGTAGTAAATCAGCCCAAATAACGCCCACTAAAGAGTTATCATCACCTTTTTTTGATGAGTTGCGAGCTTTGAAAAATAAAGGAAATCTTGTTAGGGTGTATTTTTGGTCCTGTCCAAACAACATCAAATATCCAGGGACACTTTATTTTATGGTAACTATGTGGATCTCCTCAAGAAGAAGAAAAAAAGGTTTAAACAAGAAAAGAAAAAACAAATGTCAAATAAAAGTTAATCCTTATAATTAAAAAAAATCATAGAAAACATGTATAAATTAATTAACAAACAATAAAAATTATAATACAAGACTCTACTCACAATCTACACTCAGCTGAGATATAAAATATTAATTTTTAAATTTAGGAGAGACCAGAGAAAGTGGTAGATAGAAATGGAGGGAAAGTGATAGATGAATAGAAAGACAGGGAGAGTGAGTGAGAGATAGATAGGTCGATGGATAGATAGATAAATATATTTATAAATACAAGGATAGAGAGAGATGTAGATAATGAGAGAGATAGAGAGAAAGAGATCTGGGAAGATACATTACAAGATAGTTATATTGTTAGGTAAGTAGATGGATAGATAGATAAAAAGTGAGATAGAGATAGATAGATAGAGAGCGAGTCAGAAAGGAAGAGAGCAAGAAAGTGTAAAAATAAAATGGTACATATGTGATATAGCGTGTCTCTTCTTCTTTTTTTGTTGGGCCCAACCCTGATTTCGAAAAACCGAAAACAAAGTCCCAGAGGTTTTTTACGATCGGACCTGACTACAATTATTTCATTTATCGATCAGGCACCTTTTATATTTCATTTAAACCAAAGTAAATACGACACCAAATGTTTATTAAATTTGAATCTTTAATTACAATTTATTTTCACATAAAATGACAATAAATTTTATTAATTATTATTTTTAATTTAAAGAATGCTTTTATCCTATAACAAACCTATCTCAAATCTACAAACCTTAATTTTAAAATGGAATTTGATTCTCGTTTTATAGTTCCATGAAGAAAGGTAAAGAAATTATTATTAATATTATTATTATTAAAATTTTAACCACCAAATTAGAAAATACAATTAAAATATTAACACAACTTTTAAAATGAAACTAAATTACAATTATTATTTTTTTATTTTGACGTCAAAATAATAAAAACTAACTCACTTGACTAGTGTGCACACCAAATTTTTCTTTTTTACGAAAAATAGCTGTTTACCCACACATGCCTGAAAGGGATCTGTTCTAGGACTTTTAAATTTTTTTTCATGAACTTTGAAAGTCATCATTTTTTACAAATGCAATGCCCTATTTCTTTACACATTTTGAAAGCCTTTCCATTGTAAAAATATGATACCGGAAACTCGAAAATTCATTGATTCGTTCTTGAGATAAGGAAATTTTCTTGGAAAATCGATAATTTCAGTTTATCGTGTAACCGTTTAAAAGAAAGATAAATGCGAAAATTTTATTTGTATTGGTTTTAAAAAAATCGAATTTTAAAGAACAACCATCAGCTACACGATAAATTGAAAATATTGGTGAAAAAAGAAGAAAATCAAATCAAAATTTAATTTTTATATTTAAATCAATTAAATATTCAAAATCTTCTTATTTTAATCAATTAAATATTCAAAATCTTCTTATTTTAAACTATCGAATACTGAAGTAAAACCCCAACGTTTCCAGAAATAAGTGATAAATTTTTAAAGATGAATTTTTTCACACATTTCGAAAATCCTGAATCTCAATAGAAAATGATACCAGAGAGTCGAAAATTCACTGATTAATTTCGATGATATTGGAGCTTTTCTTCCGTCTTCTTAAAGTTGGATTTAAATAATCAATGCAAATTACATTTTCTTTACTATTGTAATTGCTTCACAGATCTCAAAAATGATTAAATACTAAAATTGTAAATATTTACAATAAAACCATCATAAAATTAATCTAGTTATTAAATTTTTATTCGACGACTATTTCGTTTATCAGCCTGACTTATTAGCTTTCAACCTCATCAAGTTACCGTCCAATTTTTCACCTAGAAGTTGTCGCCCAGAGTGAATTTTCGAAATTTGCTTGCAAAATAAATACTGCAGTCACAAAAATTAATTACCCCAGTGAAAAACGTTCCGGGTATAATCAAAACTTGAATTTTAAACTCATCGACCGCAATTCCTAACAATAAACCACTAGCACGCTAAATCGCATAAAGTGTTTGTAACGGCTTTATGAGGATTTTCGGACAGGCCTTACAAAATACAAAAGAAGAGGGAGGTCCTTTGTTGTATTCCTGGCACGTATGTAATACTATGAGAAAGAAGGGGGGTTTCACTCCACGTCGCGATCAGCATTTGTGAGACAGAAACTACTGTATTATAAAGATAGAGTCTCTAACATTATTTTTTAACAATCGTCTTAAACGGAATTTAAAAGAAAATGTAAAGAAAAAAATTTATTATTCGGAGATCGTGAGATGCTGTCTGGCGGTAGTTTTCAGAAAAACATTTTCTTTATCGTGCCAACGTTTCGATCTTTATTGATATCATCTTTAGGTCCTGGGAGATATATACATTGTTTATATTTTACAAATACATGTAGGAGGTGAGAAACAATATGAATTTATACAATGCTAGAAAATTTTAGATTAAAAGAAAAAAAATAGTTTATACAATTCTAGAAAATTTTAGATTAAAAAAATGAATTTATACAATGCTAGAAAACTTTAGAAAAAAGTGAATTTAGCAATGAATTTATACAATCTAGCTTTGTATAATAAATTAATTTTTTTAATCTAATATTTTCTAGCATTGTATAAATTCATTTTTTCACATCTTACATGTATTTGTAAAATGTAAACAATGTTTATAAATCCCAGGCCCAGAAGTCGATTTCAATAATGATCGAAACGTTGGCACGATAAAGAAAATGTTTTTCAAAAACTTACTTCACACCAGATCGCATCTCACGATCACCGAATAATCATTGACTAACTATCACTAAACATTACACATTTCTAAATTATATTTTGTGAGATATTTTAAGTTAATCAAATGATGTAGAAGATAAGCAGGCAAAATTTAAGCAGAAAATGTGACTTTTTGAAACCTCTTAAAACTTATGATTTCCTTGAATAAATAACTCCGATAACGGTCTTGACCAGTATCAATCAACTGGTCTTAAATTCCAACGGTCAAAGTCGATTAAGATTATTTTAATCTACACAGGGTGTCCTTTTTTTATATGGTATGGCTGAATTTCCCTTGAACCAATGATGCTATAAAAAATACGTGTTTAGTATTTTTTAGTCTAGTTTTAAAGTTTAAATTTTTTTTGGGAGAAAAAATATACAAGATAGCTTAGGCCCAGTTCAACTTCAAAATTTCAAATACGACCCTACACATCCTGACACATCATTTTAAAGGACACTCGTAACCTGGTTTAATATTTCGCCCCCGTTAAAAATAGGATTCCGCCTCTGAATAAATAACGAAAGACGTGAAACAGATCAATTTCACTCTATTATATCAGTTTTAAAGAGAGTAAAAAAAAGTATGGTTAAAAGAAAGGGGATGAAAAATATAATGAACCTTTTGGTTTGTTTACTAACCTCTTCGTATTAGACAACAAAGAAACGGGATTTTTATTTTTTTTTGTTAATTAGGGAAAAGAAAGCCAAATTGTTGAAGAATTAGACTATGTAGAATGTTTGTTGTCTGGAATGTAATGATTGTTTTCTATGATGTGATGATATATGTGTGATATAGCGTGTCTCTTCTTCTTTTTTTCCCCAACCCTGATTTCGGAAAACCGAAAACAAGGTCCCAGAGGTTTTTTACGATCGGACCTGACTACAATTATTTCATTTATCGATCAGGCACCTTTTATATTTCATTTAAACCAAAGTAAATACGATACCAAATGTTTATTAAATTTGAATCTTTAATTACAATTTATTTTCACATAAAATGACAATATATTTTATTATTATTTTTAATTTAAAGAATGCTTTTATCCTATAACAAACCTATCTCAAATCTACGAACCTTAATTTTAAAATGGAATTTGATTCTCGTTTTATAGTTCCATAAAGAAAGGTAAAGAAATTTTTATTATTATTATTAAAATTTTGACCACCAAATTAGAAAATACAATTAAAATATTAACACAACTTTTAAAATGAAATATTATTTCTTTTATTTTTCTTTATAAAAATATATACCCTTTTAAAACTAAATTACAATTATTATTTTTTTATTTTGACGTCAAAGTAATAAAATTAACTCACTTGAATAGTGTGCACACCAAATTTTTCTTTTTACCAAAAATAGCTATTTACCCACACAAGCCTATGTCCTAGGACTTGAAAAAAATTGCCCTTTCTTGGCCCCTACTCCTTTCACTGTTTGAGTGTGTGGAGGGGCATGGCGGTTCATTTAAATCTAATCGTTACATATGTATGTTATCGATATTGAATTTGATTAATGATATTAGCGTAGTTGCGACTGAGTTTACATGTTTCTGTTCTGTAATTGATGCTGTGCTTATCTCTGTTGATATAAACCATTTCTAAAACGTTACGTTATGTTTGTGTTGCCTTGTGGGTAATATTTTTGGATTGTTAAAGTCGAAATTTTGTTTCAAAATGGTGGGTAGCCAGTGCTGTAGGATTTTGTTTGGTTTATTTGCAATCATAGATATGTTGCTTTACTCATGTTTAGCATTGTTACTTTATGTTTCAGTTATGATTTTTGTGTTTAATATGTCACGTTCTTGCCATTTTCCCCCATGGGGTTGTTTTTAAAAGGATTGGCTTGATCGAATGAGCATTAGTGATTTATGAGTAGCGTAGGCCAAATATTTGCACTAACGACCCGGTGTTATATATGGTTTCGATTTTTAAACATTATTTAACTCGAGGAGAGTTGCGATCGCATGATAAGCATGGCGTGACGAGGAATACATCAAGGGTGATGGGCGACTGCGGAGAGCGTGTCGATTTCGGTCTGACTTTTAAGCAAGGGACGTCTTCGCGGAAATGTAATAAAAGGCGGTGGATATTAATTTCTTCGGTTGGTTAACTCCTCCCTCCCAACACGCAATTCTAGTAACAACTCGCCAGAAAAAAAGTCTCACGCATATATTGAAAAATTAAAAAAAAAAAAAAAAAAAAGACAAAAGGGTGCAAAGAAATTCACCCTGTCCCTTAAACCCATTTCCATGTGTTGAATGTAAGCGCGATTTCCGAGAAGCAACAATGGAAAATTCTAGTCACGAACAATTCCACCTACTTTCTTTGTATATAAATTAGGTAGCAATTTCATTCGGTGTAATTTAAATATAGAGTGTGGTACGGTGTTTTTCGAATTTGAAAATAATTGACCGGCGGACAAAAGAATATCGTTCTATTACGTCATTTCCGTCTAGTATCCTTTGACGTTCAAACGCCATCAATGATATAAAATGTTTAAAAATAAATTTTTTTACACAGGGTGGGTAAAATTTCTGCTCCTACCTATGATTTCTTTATAGGGATATTTTTGGGAAAAACCCTGAGATAAGAAAAAAAAGGTTTTGTCTAGTTTCTGAACGAAAATATTATATTGTGATATTTTCTTCTGGGGTCTGCCGGGTGATAAACTTATTGTCTGCTAGTTACAGCATCTACCCGTCTGACCGTCGACAACCAGCAAGAATAGGCAGAGCATGATGTAGGAAACTAACAAAATGTTTTAGACTATCTACAGGATAATTGAAATTTTTTGTAAATTTTTTTCTTCATTTATTTTCTACACGAACCACCATTGTATTATACGTAATGTGTGGTGTTTAGTGACCGTTAGTTAATGATTATTTGGAGGTCGTGAGATGCGGTCTGGTGTGACGTAGGTTTTAGAAAAACTGAAAAATGGCAAAAGGAGGGAAAACTCATAAGGTGGGGTTGAGATGGGGAGTTGATGTCCGAGTGGATCGAGATCACGATAGCTCAGGTGGTAGAGCAGCGGCGTATCAAGCCGAAGGTCGTGGGTTCGAATCCCTCTCCTGCCATTGACTTTTTTTCATCTCAACTAAAAACCTTAATTAATTGTAAAGTTATTTTAGAAAAACATTTTCTTTATCGTGCCAACATTTCAATCTTTATTGAGATCATCTTCAGGGCTCAAAGTGTTTGTTTTCCGTGTAGATGTGTCGTGTTGAGTGTGTTGTATGTGAGAGAAATATTTCATGTTTGACCTACGTCCATTGAGAGACTACGCCAGTTTTGACGTTATATTGAGTGTCAACCCGATCCTGCCTTTTGAAAAAAATTTTCTCGTCTCCTCTCCTTTGGTTGACTTTCTCCATGCAAGATCCCATTTTGTAAAGGTATTTTCGAGAAGGCATTTTTTAAATAGGGATGGAGGGTATTTATTATACTCTATTGTTAGTCTAACGTAATCAGCAGATTCTTTGGCCAGTCGGTCTGCTTCTTCATTGCTTTGGTTTCCTACACGTGCATTCACCCAAAGGAAAGCCAATTTTCCAGATTCCGTCAGTTGCTTGGCTTGAACCTTGATATCTTCGCATAACCGTCCATGTTTCTTCGGATTCCTTATTGATCTGATTTCCATATTAGAATAATCTCCGTCGTATTCGGAGTAATTTTGTGTTTTTATGTTAACAAATAGTGAAATGAATTCACAAAATATATAATTTTTTAAATCTCTAAATAACGATTTATTAATCACATTTACATTATATTTTTAGATTTTACTAATATTTTAATTTATTTACTATAAATAAATAAATAAATTCAGTCAATCCAAATTATATAGTATAGTCTAAACCCACTAACCTGGCTATCCCGTTGTTAATTTATAATAGATAAGGGAAATTAAAAAAAAAACACCAATGTCCTTTGTAAAGCTTTCAAAAATATATCTCTTTCATAAGGAATTTGAAACTAGTTCTAATTTTACATTATTATATTTAATATTATCAATAATTTATTACTACATTAGAAATACTTTCAAAGGGGATACATTCCTCGAAAGCTTGATGAAGGAAGAGTTTTTCTTTCTATCGAATTTGTCTTATCCTAATCTTTTTTAAGTATAATTATTTTATTAAGGCTGATATCAATCTTAGCAAGGTGAACTTGTTGTGGTAAAAAGTCGTATATCGGTAAAATGACACAAATACATAAATAACATCCCAACATAAAATCAAATTCACTAATTTCGTGGTCCGCTTTACCAATTAATATATTACAATTAATTAAGGTTTTTAGTTGAGTTAAAAAGTCAATGGCACGAGCGGGATTCGAACGCACGATCTTCGGCTTGATACGCCGCTGCTCTACCACTTGAGTTATCGTGACCTCGATCCATTCGGACACCAACTTCCCACCTCAACTCACCTTTCGAATTTTCCTTACTTGTTGCCATTTTTCAAGGTATTTTTATCTCAACCAATACCTTACATAAAAATTAATTAATTGAAAGAATATATTTGGCCAATCGGACCACGAACTCTAATGGATTCAACAAATCATTTTTGAGATTTGTCAAACTTGAATGGGAAATGTGTTAAAACAGACTAAACATTAAGGCAAAGATTTAAATTAACAATAATGAATTTCAATATATCAAACGCAATGTCCACTATCATAATTTATCACCAAATTTTTAAAAATAAAATTTAAATAATAAAATATAAATTGCATTTATAAAGTGCAAAGATCCTGCAGATAATCGATATATCTGTACAAAAAGGCAAACTAAATTTGATAATGTAAAAGTTTATGTTTGTTTCTGAGCGATATGTTACTTTTTTCACTTCATTAATTCTATGTTTGTATAGGACACACAGGAAAAATAAAAAATGCGTGCATACAGGGCGAACACAAGGTTTTTGGTTCTCTTTTTCAGATATATTACTTTAAAAAACACACCCAAAAGACATACTTGAGATCAGTTTTTCGTCGGATTTAGTCCATTAAATCGCCGTGTTAGTGGAAACGAATACTGACAGCAATACAAATTCTTATGTATATTAATGCTAAGAGGGCGAAAGTGTGTCAATCATTGCCACCTGCAGCATACTCGACATGGTGTTACATTATGTACTGTACCCACTAGAAATATTTATAGTTGATGCTTTAAATAGCTACGGTTTGTAGAGGAAAAATCTTCTATTGGGTAGAGGAGTTTGTTTAATAAATTAAATATTTGATTTTTTATATTTTTATTTAATAAAACGAGTTTGAATAATTTATACTGGAATCCGTTTTGAAATGAACAACTTCCACATTGAGCTATCGTGACCTCGATCCACTCGGACACCAACTTCCTATCTCAACCCCACCTTTTGAGTTTTCCCTTCTTTTTGCCATTTTTATCTCAACTAAAAACCTTAATTAATTGTACTATATTAATTGGTCAAGCGGACCACGAAATTAGTGAATTTAATGATTGAAAATGAAGTATACTTCACTAAAACTCTCCGTGGCCATTTCACGACATTTGAAAAATGGCAAAAAGGAGGGAAAACTCTAAAGGTGGGCTTGAGATAGGAAGTTGGTGTCCGAGTGGATCGACCCGCTTGTGCCATTGACTTTTTTTTTTATCTCAAATAAAAACCTTAACTAATTATAAAATCAAATCTTGAAAGGGATAACAATATTCAGTGATATATTATATATTAATTTTGTTTTCAGATATGTGTATTTTCGTTTGATAATGATATGCAAAATATTACATACAGGATAAAACATATGTTTATTTAGTTAACATTATTTGGTAAATGTCAAATTTTAGTTTCAAAAATTCTGTCTTCATTTTTTTAGTAGTAACATTAACTAATGTTAGCAGTATAGGTCATGGCAAAATTAAGGGAGGAAGGTATGCGAAATTGGGAGAATTCCCTTTCGTCGGTCACATAGCGACTGTTTATCCAAACAAGACATTAGAATTATGCGGATGCTCGTTGGTATCAGTGAGTAAAATTGTTACTGCAGGTCATTGTTTTGTGAAGTGGAATACGGGTGTGAAAACATTTCTAGATTTGGAATTAACAATAGCGTATTTTGGCTCGTTGCAACTCATGGGACCGGACGCTCACACCTCCAAACTTACATCTTTGAAGGTTCCCAATGGGATGAGAATGAGAAAGAGGGGAGGGATTATGCACGATTTTGCGCTGGCTGACCTCGTCACGCCAGTCCCTATCACTCGCACAATAAAGCCTTTTGCCGTTTATTCCTTCGAAAAAAATGAGTTTAAAAGCGGTTGGGATGAGATGGTGACTTCGAAGGTAAACTGCTTGACCATGGGGTGGGGAGCAAAGCGGTTTCATGTTTGGAGAAATACATTTGTACCGAAAAGGGCCAGTAAATATTTAAAAACGATATGGGTACGACCGTGGGAAGAGGATAAGTGCCAAAAGTTGGATGGTCCCTCGAATGATTCTATGGTGCCTTTTGGACTAGTTTGCGTCGAGTCTATTTCTAAACGCGACGCTTTACTGCTTGGTGATTCTGGATGTCCATTGGTATGCGGTGATTACGTCTGGGGTGTGGGCTCAACTTTTGCTGTAGATGCCCCTGTATATCAATTTATTTTACATTGGAATTATTTGGGCGAACTTCTGTTCACTACGGATTCTTCCGTAATATGTAAAATATGTCCACAAATTTTGCTTTCTACGATTTTATACGCTATATTATATTTTGCATAAGGGTCATATAATTAGCGCTACACTATGTATGATTCAATTTTAATAAGTAAACGCATTTTTTCTCAGAAAACTTGTTTTTGTAACGTTTAGTAGTTCAAATAGAAATCATCCGAAAAGAAATAAAATTTTTTTTTACTTAATAAAGCTTTAAGTCAGTCATTGTCGAACAACTTTGATGAGGTTAAGAACCCCTTAGAGAGTTTCACCCAATGGACTGGATCAATGAAAATATACTGCATAATGTGTGGTGATTAGGACCGTTAGTCTATGATTATTTGGAAATCGTGAGATGCAGTCTGATGTGAAGTAGGTTTCAGAAAAATATTTTCTTTATCGTGCCAACGTTTCGATCTTTATTGAGATCATCTTCAGGGCCTGGGATTCACAAATATTGTTTAAATTTCACAAATACATGTAGGATGTGGAAAAAAGTGAATTTATACAATGCAAAAAAACATAAATATTCAATCAAAGTATTTCTACTCAAGGTTGAAAAAAAATACTGAGAGAGTAGAAATACTTTAATTGAATATAATTTTTTTTGCATTGTATAAATTCACTTTTTTCTATATCCTACTGTATTTTTTAAATTTAAACCATGATTGTAAATCTCAGGGACTGAAGATGATCTCAATAAAGATCGAAACGTTGGCACGATAAAGAAAATGGTTTTCTGAAACCTACGACACATCAGACCGCATTTCACGATTTCTAAATAATCATACTGCTTAACTTTTAAGTTCAACGAAAGATTTTATCATTTGTGCTAGCAGTGATATGTGGTAGTTTGCAGCTGAGGGGAAATCAAGTGTAAATTATATAAAAATAAGGTTTTCAGAGTTACGGTTAACGCTTTCAAATCACGTAGAATATCTTCTGATGTTTCTGCTTTTTCTTAAAATCGTCGGCAGAGTGTTAGTCCCGTTTTTCTCATTTTTTGTGGTGGTAACTAAATGGGAAATGGTCATTATAAAGGCAGTCGTATTACCTTTCTCCATTCTTGCCTATTAAGAATGGAAGGTTGATTTTTCTTTTTCTACTTGAGATTTTGAGGTAATTCATTGTTTTTTACCTGATGATTTGAGCCAATGAGTGGTCATTTTTCTTTCCATTTGTTCAGTTTTGTTTTGAACATGGTTTTCAGTGTGTCAATTTCCTGTTCTGGTCCAAAGGGTATGTGGGTGTTTTGGTTTCCTTGTGTGTCGTTCCTTCCACGTGTTCGTTGCCTTCAATAATCCATCTTGGTGCCCACTTCAAAACAATTGCTCCCACTTTCCCAGTACCTGGAAATCTGTCAGGCTTTAGTTGAATAAAATATGAAAATTTAATTTGTGTTTTTTTAAAATCTAACTTTAAAAATAACAATCAGTTACACAATAAATTGAAACTATCGAGTTTTGATGGAAAACATCACTATCTCCATGTTGAAACTATGAATTTTGAAGTTTCTGGAATTATTGTTTTTAGAATAGAAAGAAATTTCAAAGGGTGAAAAAAAGGCTTCCCTTGGAGCTGGAGATGTTGGACATTTCCAGACCAGCTTTGAATTGAAGGCGAAAGAGTCGAAGGCCTTCTTGGCTTGTCTGTCTAAGAATGTGTATATCTGTGCACTTTTTAAAATATATCTTGTGTTCACATTTCTATGGTAGAGATCTCAGCATTGAAACTTGTTAATATGGGGCCTTGAGGTTTCGCTAGGTCAAATTTGGGCCTTTGACACCTGTCCTCATCCACAGTTTCATTTCGTATCCATCTGTATAGTGCAATAAGACCTCTCTTTTAGTTTCAGGGGTTATAATTTAGTTAGTTCCACGTCTTCCTATTTTTATCTGGATCGTTCAATCAAAATTTTCCAGTCATCTCAGGGATGCTATTAAAAAAAAAAAAATCATTAGGCAACAGTGTGAGGAAAACTACTACCTTGGCTCAATAATCGTTACCATTTTGTTCGGGCCAGAATAAGTAATATCAACTTTTTTTTAATGGCTTTATCAACATACAGCCCGCGAGCACATCGACACTATTCCCAAGAGATGGACACTTTCTTATTGCTAAAAAATATCTTCATCTGAATTAATCCAGGAATATTGGTATCTATCGAAATAAAATATATTTTGCGTCCTAGAGACGTTTTGGTGCAAGGAACAAAGTTGATATATTTTTGTAGCACCTCATAAAAACCCTTGAGTAAAATTACAAAACAAAAATATGCATGTATCTGATTTCTCTAGTTTTGCCATTGGTGTGCAAAGTATTGTACCTGTAGATGCGAAAAAAGATAAAATAATTCAAATATACTAAGTGGGTTGATGCCGAGCTCTTAAAATTCGTGGGTACTTAACCGCGCGAGAAAGAGTTACAAGGAAACACAACCGGAAATCTTATGGACAAAGCAAGAACGTGGTACCATAGGAACTTTGTGGAAATTATAAAGAACTTGTACAACTTACTAAACTCGTAGAAAAACAATGCAGAAACTGAAAATTACTCAACAACGCCCAAAAATAACGGAAAATGGTCATATTTGAAAACTGAAAAGTACACTTGTCTTACATTGTTAAAAAAAGGGAAAAATAAATTAATAAACGTTCACAGACTATTTTTAACCTCGTACAAATTACAAAACGAAAGAAAACAGACGATCACATCGTACATGAGCACTAAAAACCCAAAACTAATTCAAATCATCAACATCAACATGCCGCCGCACTACTTCCAACTTTTACCAAACTGACATCACACAGACACAGTAATATTTGGAGAGAAGACGAACCAAACTAAGCTAGGGAGATCAAAATGAACAAAAATTTATTTAACTGTAATTCATACCCGCTCTCTAAGAGGAAATAGAACCACTTTCCAATTGATAAGATTAATGTTTCTTGTCGGGCGATTTTGAGGTATGCGAAGGTCGCCAATTTTTTTCTTTTATCTTCCTCAGGAGTGGTGAGTTTGATAGCTGAAAAACTCACATTGTACTTTTCAAAAAGTAAATTTTTACAAAACGAACGATTGCCTTCAATAGTTTTGGCACGATTAACACTAATCGGTGTAATTATTTACTAGGTTTGTTTTCAAGCACGTATTTTCCTGTAATGTAAATGACATGAGAAATATTGCAAACAGTATAAAACATATGTTTATTCATTTAGTTCACATTGTTCGGTTGGAATGTCAAAATTTTGTTTCAAAATTTTTGTCTTCATTTTTTTAACAACAACAGTTGTTTTTGTCAGGAGCGCATACGATATAAAAATTAAAGGAGGAAGGTATGCCAAATGGGGAGAATTTCCTTTTATCGGCCACATCGTTACTGTTCTTCCAAACAAGACGTTGGAAATGTGTGGATGCTCGTTGTTTTCAGTGAATAAACTTCTTACTGCAGGTCATTGTGTAGTGAGTTGGACAAGCGGCGCGAAAACCTTTCTTGATTTGGAAACAACAGTAGCATATTTTGGTACCTTACAATTCATGGGCCCTGACGCTCAGACATCCAAACTTTCATCGCTGAAGGTTCCCAAGGATATAAGACCGAGAAAAAATGGCGGGGTTATGCACGATTATGCAGTTGGTAACCTCATTACGCCAGTAAAGATTACTAATGCCGTAAAGCCTTTTGCCGTTTTCTCCTCTGAAAAAAATGAGTTTAGAAACGGTTGGAATGAGATGGTGACTTCGAAGGTAAACTGCTTGACTATGGGGTGGGGAGATACGTCGTATAAATCCTGGAATGATACGATTAGCCTAGAGCAAGGCATCAATAAATACTTAAAAACATATTTGATAGAACCATTGGAAGAGGACGTATGTGATAAGTCGGCTGGTCCGCCAAGTGAAAATATGGTGCCTTTTGGACAAGTTTGCATGAAAAGTATTACTCCAGGCGAAACTTTACTATTAGGCGATATTGGAGGTCCGCTGATGTGCGGAGCTTACATCTGGGGTGTTTCTGCTTCGGTGACTTCAGATACCACTATAGCGTACTTTATTTTACATTGGCATTATTTGGATGAAGTTCTGTTCACTACGGATTCTTCCGTAATATGTAAAATATGTCCAGAAATTTTGCTTCTTATGTTTTTCATCATATTACATTTTGCATAAAAGCCATTCAACTAATATCCATATGATATACTAATATACATATGATTCAATTTCAATAAGTAAACTTGAACTAAAAAGTAGTTGTTTTTTTGGAGACTTTAATTTTAGTTTTAGCTCAAATAATTCACGCACAAAGAAAATAAATAAGGTGGAGTGAGTATATCAATTTTCTGGTTCGAAAGGATAGTTACACGCATAACAATGAACTCGAAACCCCATTTTTAAACGCTTCTTGCCATTGTACCACAAAGAGGCGTAACTAAGTTATTACGTTGGTTTATTTTGATGTAAAACATCTTGAAAATCACATCGAAACATATTGCATTGCCACAAAAAAAGTGACACAACTCAACAAATAAAATTTTACAGAAAAGAGAGATGAAAATTTACTTTATTTTTTCATGTATTAAGTACACACAGTTACGGCTGTCGGCAAATAAATCTGTCATGATTCATCAATATTGTCTTTCGTTTGTGCAAGATTTAATCGAAAACACATAACTTTAATAATTCAGCTCTACTACACCTAAAAAACTACCCCTTTTTGAGTTGTAACACTGTTCTTGAACATATTGGTTCTCAGTAATTTAAATTAGTTTGTTTCCTCTAACGATAATTGAGGTCAATGAATTACACTAAGGGAATTAATTTTTTTGTGATAGTAACAGACACCGTACAATCCTAACAAATAAGTATAAATATGTTGACAGTAAGTTTTACAAAGATTATTTTTGACCCAAATGTGCTTTCCTTCTGGAGTTACGGCTAATTACTTATTTAAAATACAACATTAATGATTGAAAAAAGATTTTGTTGATTTGTGTCGTGTTTAGTGACCGTTACTTAATTTGGAGGTCGTGATTTGATTGAAACATTTGATTAACTTAATATCACACAAAATATTATAATTTAGAAATGTGTGATGTTTAGTGACCGTTAGTCAATGATTATCCGGAGATCGTGAGATGCGCTTTGGTGTGACATAGGTTTTAGAAAAATATTTTCTTTATCGTGCCAACGTTTCGATCTTTATTGAGAACATCTTCAGGGCCTGGGATTTATAAACATTATTTAAATTTGACATATACATGTAGGATGTCGAAAACAATGAATTTATACAATGCTAGAAAATTTTTGATTCAAAAAAGAAATAAAAATACAAATCGTTGGCGATGTCTTTCAGAAAGACAAATACAAATATTTGAATTGAAATTGAATCAAAAATTTTCTAGCATTGTACAAATTCATTTTTCCACATCCTACATGTATTTGTAAAATTTAAACTATGTTCATAAATCCTAAGCCTTGAAGATGTTCTCAATAATGATCGAAACGCCGGCACGATAAAGAAAATGTTTTTCTAAAACCTACGTCACACCAGAACGCATCTCACGATCTCTGGATAATCATTGACTAACGGTCACTAAACATCACACATTTCTAAATTATAATATTTTGTGTGATATTAAGTTAATCAAATGTTTTAGAAGATAAGCAGGAAAAATTTAAGCAGAAAATGTGGCTTTTTGATACCTCTTAAAACTTGAGATTTCTTTGAATAAATAACTCCGATAACGGACTTGATCAGTATCAATCAACTGGTCTTACATTAGGATTGTTTTAATTTATACAGGGTGTTGGCTGAATTTCTCTTGAACCAATGATGCTATAAAAAATACGTGTTTAGTATTTTTTAGTCTAGGTCCAAAGTTTTAATTTTTTTTGGAGAAAAATTATACATGATAGTTTAGGCCCAGTTCAACATTTCAAATACGACCATACACATCCTGACACTTCATGTTAAAGGACACTCGTAACCTGGTTTAATATTTCGCCCCCGTTAGAAATAGGATTCCGCCTCTGAATAAATAACGAAATACGTTAAACATGGGATCAATTTGACGCTGTTAAATTATTTTTAAAGAGAGTAAAAAAAGTATAATTAAAACAAAGGGGAAGAAAAATATAATGAACCTTTTGGTTTGTTTACTAACCTCTTCCTATTAGACGACAAAGAAACGGGATTTTTATTTTATTTTATTTATTTCCAGTCCAATCAGGTCAGGTACCCAAGTATAGGACAGTCAGGCAACACAACAAAACAAGCATTACAATATAAACTATTAAAACAAATTTTAACAAAAAATCAATATTATGAATAGATTAATAAGTAGCACAACAAAAGTAATAAATAAACCCTCAATTATATTTTATAGCTCCTTTAATTTTAGGAATAAAGATCCGAAGGGACGAGGAGAAGGGGTCCGCACTGAAAGCGAATTTATTTAAGTAATGCACAGCTCTGGAGATTGAAAACTCTAAGCCGTATTTGGTCCTGGGCCGTGAAGTACTAAACAATTCGGTTGACGCTGGGAACCCTAAAGCCAATACAAGATAATATCTCCGGGTCAATAAAATTATTTAGGATCCCACAGAAACATAACGAAAGCCAAAATTCTTCTATCCTCCAGAGAATCCAGGCCTACTACAGCAAATCTGGCTTCATAAGAGCAATGGTAGTTCCTGTGATTGCATAACTTGTAATACAGGTATTTCGAGTCTAGGTGACTGAGCACCAGAGATTTATAAAGTAATTTTAAGCATTGTAAGCATCTCACGACCTCCAAATAATCAAGTTTTATTGATTATTAAAAATATTGTAATTAAAACACTAAATAAATAGTTTAAACCATAAAATAATGTAAAAGTTAAAAAGAAACATTGTTTAAAAATATGAAAAAATAATATATTTAAGAATGTTATTAAAATAAAAGAAACGAAACCAAAATATTCCACGATCCAGAGCTAAGATCTTTTTAAAAAGATTGTATCCAAAATCTAAAATTCGTAGGTTTTTTTTCAATTGGGTTGTCTTGAGCCGTTTATACGTTGGGAAAGAGCTGTGTTATTGTTTTATATATGTTATATCATTGCTATGGTTTTAATCCGGTTTCCAATGATTTTTGTTTTTCTTACGTATATTTTATAATTTCGTTACATTAAACGGGGTAAATTCCATTATTTTTGAAATTAATTTTCTAATATCTTTGACTGGGGGATGTGCAGATTTTTCGTAATTTATAATAGTAATTGTGTAATTTAGAAGATTTTTAAACAGAAAGTAAAAAAGAACAATAATTCTACTTTACAACATCCAGGCATAAATTCATGCAAGTTTTAAAGGGGCGACGTTAATTTTTGTAATCAAGTGACCGAGACGGCTGTTCAAAAGTTTACAACTCCCGTTTAGCCCCTAGCTTGGAAAGTTAATTAACAAAAACAGGCATGGAAAAAAAAGAACAGAAAAAAAGTGTTAGCGTATTGTACAAAATGTGGCTCGAGCGACTCTAATGTTGAAAGAAGAATGCGCGGCATTAGAGAACCACCAAATGTGAAGCAATTAGCCCACATTTAAACAGAGAACAGGACAACATTTACATTTGTTTAGAAAACTGTAGCCATCCTTAAGTGTTTTTTAATGTAAATCAACCGTTTTACAAGGTGGTGACAATTTAGTTTGAACCTTAGAGTTAATTATCTTATAATGTATGTTTTCCCTCCATTCATTTCATTAGGAGGAGAATCGCCCTTCGCTCTTTACGGAATTTAGTTTAATCGTTGATGAATTCTGCTGACATTAGTGAGTGTTGATTAAGTTTAATACAATACAACTCCTTAAACTCATATAGATCATTTGCCGGAATTAATAAATGTCAAGATTATAAATTTCACATGTTATTCTGTTTCAGTACATGAATCATTTCTCCACAAGAACATAAAGATATACAAACATATCGTCTATAACAATCAATACGCTAAACACATAATCAACAGAATAATCAACAACTACAATTCAACACTAACACCATCCACCATTACTAATAATTACAATTAATTAAGGTTTGTAGTTGAGATGAAAAAAAGTTAATGGCACGAGCGGGATTCGAACCCACGATGATAGGAAGTTGATGTCCGAGTGGATCGAGGTCACGATAGCTCAA